TAAGAAAATGTACATCCTATAAATTTAATTATTGATTGGATTGATCGTTTTAGTGAAGGAAGGTAAATGGTTAAAAATGATACTTGTGATGTTGCCTAGTGAAAGCAAGTTTGAAAAGATGTGTTTTTTATTAAGCAATTTGCTATCAATGACGTCCAATTTACACTTTGAATAATAGTTGAATATTTTATAAAAAAAAAATTATTAATAACCTAAGATATAGTTTACGTTAGATCTTAAACATATTAGATTATTAGTTACATAGTCAGTTAGTGACCTAATACGGAATCATACAGGGTGTGAAATGGAAATCCGTATTGGGCGAGGCGAAGCCGAGTCCCAATACAGATTTCCATTTCACACCCTGTATGAATCCGTATTAGGTCACTAACTGACTGTGTAACGAATTTATCCCGCTGAAGACCTAACGTTAGTTCTTAAATATTTAAAAAAAAAATCTGTGTGCATATTATGAAAATATCACGTTTTAATCCAATAACAATCAACATAAAAGATCGTAACAAGAAATTTAAGTAATCAAACTACCTACGCAAACCGTTTCTTAGCCGCCATTTTTATTTACAATAACAACGCTTTGAACGGAATCGCGTGCCCGATTTTCATATTACGCCTCGACGGAGACGTAATATAGAAACGGAGACATAATACGGAAAATTTCAGGGCGTCATGTGATTAGCTTTTATCCAATCAGCAAACGACAAATTTGTCTGAAGCGGGATAATATTAGTTACACAGTCAGTTAGTGACCTAATACGGATTCATACAGGGTGTGAAATGGAAATCCGTATTGGGCGAGGCGAAGCCGAGTCCCAATACGGATTTCCATTTCACACCCTGTATGAATCCGTATTAGGTCACTAACTGACTGTGTAACGAATTTATCCCGCTGAAGACCTTTTTCAATATTAAAAAAAATATTTGGGCATATTATGAATCCGTATTAGGTCACTAACTGACTGTGTTACGAATTTATCCAGCTGAAGGCCCTTTTTGAATATAATAAAAATATTTGCACATATTATCAAAATATTAAGTTTAATCCAATAACAATCAACATATAAAATCGTTACGGTAGCAAGAAATCTAACTAAACTACCTACGTAAACCGTTTCTTAGTCCCCATTTTTATTTACAATAACAACAGGTCCAGTCCAAAGACTATTTCTACCTACGTAGCTATTTATACCTACCTAGGTATTTAAAGCTACCCAAAGTAGCTATTTTTACCTACTTTATATAATTTCTGCATTTTGCAACCAAAAGACCAAACGGCGCAACATGGTAAATGCCATATTTTTTGATACGGTAACACTAATGATGAATACGACAAAATTTTGGCCAAAAAAGGATTACTTCCTGAATCGGCATTATTACATTAGTTTCTATGCAAAATTGATAATATACGAAGTAATTATTTTTTGGCCAAATTTTTGTCATATTCATCATCAGTGTGACTGTAACAAGAAATTTTGCGCTCACCATGTTGCGCCGTTCCTGCATTTGGCCACAAAACGCAAGTAAAGCAGAAAGTAGGTAAAAATAGCTACTTTGGGTAGCTTTAAATACCTAGGTAGCTATTAATACCTACGTAGGTAGAAATAGTCTTTGGACTGGACCTGAACAACGCTTCGAACGGAATCGCGTGCCCGATTTTCATATTACTCCTCGACGGAGACGTAATAAGGAAAATTTCAGGGCGTCATGTGATCAGCCTTTATCCAATCAGCAATCGACAAATCTGTCTGAAGCGGGATAAATGATAAAAACGTGGCACCTTTTTCTCTATCCACCTATAAAAATCTCTCCCGAGACTTGGCTTTTAATGGTCGCCATGCTTACTTTCGGAAAAGATATTCTTATTCACCCATTTTGTTGCCGAGATTTGACCATTTCTGACAAATGAACTGTTCTATTTATGAAACTTAATTTACATGAGAACTATAAAACTGAGAAAAATCTTTCAGCTTTTGTGACAGAACGCTATACGGAAAGGGGTCACGTGACCGCTTATATCACGTGATTCGGGCATGAGCTGAATAGAGGACTAATGAACACAGTGTCCTTCAAATAATAAAAGGTATTATCAATAATAATGTCATGCCTTCCCGCAATAAAAACGCTTAAGTATTTACCAGCGTAATGTCTCCTATAGTATGTATCAATAGGTTGAAGAATTACTAATTCAGTCAGAAAGTGGTTTTGGCTTTAAATGAGTATTTGTCCTTTGAAGTAGACACACATTAGCCATAAAAGCTGTAAATTATATTCTGTATAGTACTGTATACTAACCTTTGAATTAAAAAATATCCTGTGAACTCAAATACTTATGTCCATTTCACATTTCAACCTCTGATGTACATAGTGCTAAAACGAATAAGAATGACAGTGTTATTTCACAGACCCTCTCATTCACCATGAGTTCTAACTGGTTCATGTGATGTCGGTTACTGATAACTGCGCATTAGGGCACGAAAACTGA